TGGCTGTGTCCTAGATTCACGAAAGCCAAATGATAATGAGCTCAGATTGATGCTCGCCTTCTTCTCCTCCTCTTCAGCTCCCCTCTCTCCTCTATGCTCGCCTCCTCTCCTCCTTTGTACATCTCTTTCCTGCTGCCTCTCCTCCCTGTAGTCCTCCTCTTAACTTGCATAATCATTTCTTTCACATCTCAGTCTCTGTCTCGTCTTTGCTCGTCTTTTGTTCCAGTTATTTCTTCTCCTCTCGCCTTCACAACGGTTTCTGTTGTCGTTCTGAGCTTCTCTCTTTTGTTGAAAACATTTAAACACATTCTCCACAAAAGCTCCAGATAAAAAAAATTAAGCCAACTTTGTTAACGATGAGAATATTTGATAATAATTGTTGTGCTTCAGCTGTTACACATTAAGCACTTCTGGTTCTGCTGGAGGACTTCACTGTTGTACCGTCACTAAGGACACATCTTCTTTATCTCTGCCAGTTTTCATCTCCTCTCACCGTCCTTTATGACCAGCTGCATGACTCAGAGTCTCCTCAGGTCACCTGTAACTCCTTCTCACGCTTGTCTAATTATGGAGTTCGGGACGTTGCCGCCGTTTTAGCACAGCGCTCTGCAGTGATGAATTTTGGGGCTTTTTTAGGACCGGTGGTTTTGGCGTCTCAGGAACAACAAGGTGCAGGAGGGCTACCCCATGCAGATCGATCAGTTCTGGAAAGGCCTGCCACCTCGCATCGACGCCGCCTACGAGAGGACCGACGGCAAATTTGTCTTCTTCAAAGGTATGTGGAATAAAATTTGAGGTATATAGTTTTTCCTACACTGACTAACAGTTAATATCAGTGCGTCACAGTCCACAGTCCAAACACATCACAAACACATGTATAGATAACTGTCGTATTTGTTAATGGCATCAACAGATGGAGCATTCTAAGAGTAGACAGTGCAGCGATTCACTCCTTTTGCCTTTTGACCCTCAATGAAACTCTAAACTCACTGAGGGACATTTGGTTCATGTTGTATTGATGTTACATGATCTCATTACTGACCAAACTTATTTATTTTGCATAATTTAGCAGCCGTACTAACAGGCATCACACGCTCGCCCTGTTTTCTGAGAGCAGGTGTATAAAAATCAGAAGCCTTACATTTAAATTCAGCCCGCTGTCGTGTTAACGGAACATTTTCAGATATTTTGAGATCTCTCAGCAAAGTCACGTCATGCTAAATCGTTGAGAAGTCGACAAAGTTGCAGGGAGGTAACTAACTCTGTGATGTCGGCCAAGTGGTGAGCAAAGTGTGTGCTGCTGCTGGTCCTCTTGTCCCAGCGCTGTCCTGCCTGCAGGAAGCTGACGTAGATGTGTCCTTTCAATTTTGGATCAATGCATTTACACCCTGAATAACAGTGTTGGGAAGGTTACTTTTAAAATGTATTCTACTACAGATTACATGCCCCAAAATGTATTTAGTAACGTTTAGTAACTCAGTGAGAGTAACGTATTCTGAATACTTTGGATTACTTAATATATTATCATGCTGTTTACAACTACATGAATGAA